TCCCCCCCCCCCCCCCCCCCTGAAAAGTCAGGCACTCGGTCATGGACCAAGTACCCGACAGCTGTACAAGAGAGGAGGGGACCCCAGTGGCATATCTTATCCCACTGGGTGAACGTCCCCTCCTCTTTCTGCCGGTGTCCATCACCAAGATGGCTGCCGGCAGTTAAGTGAACGTGACACCCAGCCAATAAATACAAAGCTCTTTCTATGTGTGTTGGAGGTTTATGGTGCATCTATTATTTATGGAGTAATACACAATTTGAAAGATCATCCTAACTGCAAGCTGGTGTGCCCTAGCTATATTATTTTCTATGGAAAAAAAGGAAAAAAAGGAAATGAATGCATGCCTACTGTGCACTTTGTACATACAGTTCAAAGTACAGCCAAATGCTTGGCACTTTTAGAACTTAAAATTAGTCATCTTTAAAACAGTAGGGTTTTTCTTTTTTGGCGGTACTACAGACGGCTTCCAGTTTATAGCTGAGGAGACACTATGGGATTTTTTTAGCCTTAGGAAGACTGTGTTAGGCATACAGAGTTAATTTCAGTGCTGGCTGGGATGACCAGAAGCTCTGAAGGCAATAAATCTACAGCTAAACAAATTCTCCTTACTGCACATCCTGCAAAGGGGATTTGGGACCAGTGAAAAACAACTGATACATCTCCTCCTGTACATGATGTCAGCTTTTCTTTATTGGAGATATCACAGGGGGTAGAGGGTCAGTGTCAATAGTAACCTCAGCAATCCTTAATGTAACATTGATAGATACTGTATGTGTTATCTTCACATGCACACAGATTTTCTCTGTTTAAATTTAGGGGTGCACCGATACCAATACTAGTATTAGTATCGGTGCTGATACCGAGTATTTGGGCGAGTACTCATACGCTACCCAAATGCTCGCTACCATCCCAAATACCAGAACTTCTGGTCAGAGGCAGATTTCCTCCGACCGGCAGTGCCGCGAGGGAACATGGAGTCGGCTTCCCAGCCAATCGGCATCGAGCAGGCCAAACAGCATGGAGCCAGTTTCCCGGCCATCAGGAAGCTGTCCGGAGCTGTTTAGCATGCACAATCACCACCACCAAACCCCCCTTTTAGTGTACAAAACCACCACATCCTCCCAAGCCACCCCGGGTTAGCATACAAAACCACCCCATTCGGCGGTGAATAGGCTAGGGATTCCCCTAGGCCCTGTAACCATCATCACTGAGACATAAAGTAAATAGAAAATCCAAAGTTAGAGGAGAAATCTTCTATCTTTCACCTGTTCCAGAAATTAATTCCTCTAACTTTGCAGAGACTGCATCTCATTTCCTGTTGCATCTCACGGACAGGAAGTATAGTGAAATTTCCCCAACAGTCAATGGTAAAGAAAAAAAAGTTAGTATTTTTCTTTTTGGAAGTTTCTTTACCAAGATAGAAACAAGTATATTTTTAAAGTCTTTATTCATTCTCTAACCTGTCTTCCAGATAATTGGGAGGAGATGGAGAATTGTAACCACACATTGGCGAGAAGATTCACCCTACTTGGCCTTTCCAGTGTCCCCGGGCTGCAGATCACCTTCTTCTTGCTCTTTCTCCTGATGTATATGGTGGCATTATCAGGAAACCTTCTTGTGATCACTGTGGTGAGACTTCATGCCCGGCTTCAGACTCCCATGTACTTTTTCTTGAGTAACCTCTCAGTCATTGACATTTGCTTCTCGACAACCATAGTTCCCAAAATGCTAAGCAATACCTTATCTCAGGATAGAACTATTTCCTTGCTGGGATGTGCGGCCCAGATGTATTTCCATTTGGCTCTAGGAGCTACAGAGTGTTTGATATTGGCTGTGATGGCCTATGATAGGTACACCGCCATTGGTAAACCCTTGCAATACAACACTATTATGAACCAAAAACTGTGCTTCTATCTGGCTGCTGTATGTTGGGTTGTGAGTTTTTTAAACTCGGCGATCCATGCCGTTTTTACATTCCAGCTGCCATTTTGCAAGTCCAACGAGGTCAACCACTTTTTCTGTGAGATGCCCCCACTCTTCGAAATCTCCTGCAGAGACACCTGGTTCAATGAAGTTGCTGTGTATATCTCTGGTGGCTTAATTGCTCTTTGCTCATTCCTGCTCACTCTGTTGTCCTATGCCCACATTCTCTCCACCATTGTCAAGATCCATTGCACCAGTGAACGTCATAAAGCCTTTTCCACCTGCGCATCCCATCTCACCGTTGTAACACTCTATTACGGCACCATCATATTCATGTATTTGCGTCCTCAATCCAGTTACTCTCCAGATCGTGACCGGGTGGTCTCCATCTTGTATACAGTGGTGACTCCTATGTTGAATCCCATCATCTATAGTGTTAGAAACAAGGATATCATTGGAGCGATAGGGAAGACAAAACATGGCGTGGTGTTTACCTGATGAGCTTATTTTGATAAAATAGGATTTTTGTACTCACCATAAAATAGACATGTAAGCTGCGGAAAAATTCAGTTTGGTTCGGATATTTCGGAATTCGGGAATTCGATTTGTTTTGGATTTTGGATGAAATACGAATTTCCGTTAGTTTTGTATAAGTTTACGAATATTCGTTGCGAATACCACAGAAAACCATGTACAGATATTAATACTAAAGCTGAATCTCCTAGACCCGAATGGCATTCGGGATCCAAATTTCCGCATTGCATTCGGCAGCTCCCGAATGCCATTCGGGTCTGGGAGCCTCAGCTTTAGTAATATATGTATATGGCTCCCAGGCCCGAATGGCATTCGGGAGCTCCCGAATGCAATTCAGAAATTCGGGAGCTCCTGAATGCCATTCGGGTCTAGGAGCCATATACATATATAGCTAAAGCTGAGGTTTCCAGACCCGAATGGCACTCGTGAGCTCCCGAATGCAATTTTGAAATTCGGATTCCGAATGCCATTCAGGTCTAGGAGCTGTTCATTTATGTACTGAACGCAAATTTTCGTTACGGCAACATGGGAGCCATATAATATGGCTCCCATGTTGCCGTAACGAAAATTCGTGTTCAGAGCCATTCGGATGCATTAAACCGAAAAACTCATCTGATTGGCCAGAAAAGTCACATGCTCGATCCAGTTTAGTTTTTGAACAAAATTCAGAGGGGATCCGAAATTCAGAAACAGAAATTCGGATTCGAACACATTCGGATGCATTGGGATTTGGAAATTCGGATGTGTCTACCATAAAATGCATTTCTTGGAGTCCATTGAGGGGCACAGGAATTTTTAGAATTAGTAGACTGTCACTCTTCTTACTTTAGTTCTTAAGTTGGATATTCAGGCCTCATCTGATGTCAGCTTTGGGCTTGAGGTCCTTCATGCAGCTCTTTGAGCCTCAGACAGTTCTCAGTTTTCTATTGTCTTTTCTTGGGCCTGTAAACCTTTGTTGCAACGTTGCCCACCCCTCTGTTTTTGGATGTGCCAACAGTCTAAGAATTCCTGTGTCCCTCAATGGACAATTATAAAATTAGTATTTTTGTATCCTGCCCATTTAAGAACACAGCTCCTACTACTCTTTTTTTCATGCTATCAGTACTGCCTTGGTATAAAACTGGAGCATGACAGTTGTGGACAGGGTCATCCTGTGCTGGCCAACTTTATTTGTTGACAGTGTCCATTTCTCCTGTAGGCAGCATGTGACCTCTCATCCCATTTAACTCCTCTTCTGCTAAGCTAAGAGTTTTGTTGCCATGACCTTCCAAATATTTCTGAATTTTGCACTTTCTGCTACTGGAAAGGCCTGAAGAGCAGACAGAACTATGGAGGACACTGTTGACCAAACATACAACATGCCAAGTTATCTACTGGGATGGGAGTGTGATGTACAAACCATCTAGTTTTGTCCCAGCATGGAATAACAAGTTTCCAAAGTATTCTAAGGATGTGCCAGGGGTTCAGGGTTTGATGATACAAAATGTATGATCATTTATGTACATCAAGCCTTTGTACATTCACATGTTTGGATAGTAAAACCTTAAAAGGTTTAGATAGAGTACATTTATAATGGTGATTGAACAATATTAAAATTGTGCCATGAAAAGTATAATATTGTACTGTGTTGAACTATGACCTATGACCATACTACAATAAAGAGATATCACCTTCCTTTATTGATTTTTTTTTAATTCAACCCCTTTTAATAAAAATGTAATGGATTGTGCACCTTCTTACTTATCTTGATTACCTTGAACTTTAGTATAGTTGTCTTTTAAACGACTTCCCCTTCCCCAAGCGTCTTATACACACCTGTCTATGCTCATGGCAATGGACAACTGCACATGCTCAGACTAATCCAGGTAATTCCTATGGAGAGGCCGTCTATCATTGAGTCCGCACATGGGCAGAAGCTGAAACATCGAGGAGAGTTTCCAGAGGTGTGGCTCACTGTGGGCCATACACATGGTGGATCTGCCAGGAGCATGGATCAGTGGTGGATCTACTTTGAATGTCCTTCTTTGTCCATAGATCTTACACACAGCAATAAAATTACGCAAGTATAGACGTGTTAAAATGATAATCTCCTAACATATTTTTTTTGTACGCATTACATATCAAACATGAAAATAGATCCCGTGCAGACTACGCAGTCCGTGACCTAGGAGAGTAGGGAAGATTGGGGCAGTTGCATTCATTTCTGCACTAACTACCCCTACTAAAGATAGATCTTTCTCCTAGCCAGCTCTGTTGCTTCATAAGTGTCTATTAGGACTGAAGGGGAAGATCAGTAGCTGAAGGCTGGATGTCTCAGGATAGGCGGTTGACTTTGTTAATGGCTGTTCTCTTAAAACTAATAAGACACCTTTCATTTAAAATGAGTTGGAAGAGATGAAGCATGTGAGCTCATCACTCTTTGTATGTGTGATGGTTGACTGCATATTATTCGAATGATGACCCATCAACCTTCAAAAGCACCTTAAAATATGACTTTGTGATCTTTTTCTTGGACTTTTGGCTCTGTCCATCCATGAGGAGTGAGGCTTTATAAATGTGATCACCTTGCTGTGGCAAACAGGCACTTCATTTTGAAAGTTGTCCTGCTTGCTCAGTCATGTTCCCTCACAGATAGGGCCCTCTTTACCATCTTGTCTTGAATTGTATTGTAATTATAATGTCTTCCTTATATTGTGAACTGTTGGTGCTATATAAATCCTGCATAATATAATAATAATGTTCCTGGAATAAGAGAACTGCGGCTAAAACCCAACACTGACATACACAATTTGCACAGAAATGGCTGGCATGACCATAAATGAGAGTTAGAGACCATGACTTAAGATGGACTTGTGCCCAGACTATGCCTACCAAAGTATTTACATATTCTAAAGAACTCTAATTCACCATTGTAGTTATGGGCATTGAGGAGAGATCGAGAGTGCCAAATATAGAAAACAGACACTTCATGTTCTCAATCAAAATATTCGCAGGATCCCCTTCCTCAGGCATTTGCATTAGGAATGCCGGTGTCCCTGTTTCTACCTATGCATGTAACGGTTGCCACTCTTTCCAGCTCAAGGACATCCTTCATGTGGATTGGTGACCAAAACTGGACTGCATACTCCAGATGAGGCAATACATTCCCTTTTTAATACAAGACAGAACTCTGCTCACTTTGTTTACCGCAGCCTGGCATTGCAAGCTATTCAAGTAGTCCTTGTACTACCACAGAGCTACTTAGTAACCAGCAACTGTGAAAACAACAAACACTTTGGTCAGGAGCATGCTGGTCAATGCAAGGAGGAAAAAAGCCCTGACTTGGGTGGTCAGTGGGAGAAAGAAAAAATGCCGTGCTTGTGGTGGTTGGTGAGATAAGTTAAAGAACAATTCTGGGCAGAATAAAAATGAACCCTAACTACCCCTATACTGCAAGGGTTTCCTGCTTGTTTTGGTCTAGGGTCTAAAATAAAAAAGATATACTCACCCAATCCTCAGTCCCATCTGGTTGCCAGACCGGTGCCCTCAGCCTCTTCTCCCCGGGACCCCGGTGGTCCAATGACCCGTGAGTCATCATGTCTAGTACAGTGTATTAGATGCTAGGATGCAGAGGAACATTCCACCACCAGAGAGTAGGGAAAGACAGGTGAGCAGTCTCTGCCGCGGGTTTGAGGCTTGGGTGTAGACATGTGCGATTCGTTTCGTTTCCAACCGAAATTCGGACGAATTTTCGGAAATTCGGACATTCGGATGTATCCGAATTCCGAATTACAGATATAACGAATGCAAACGAATCCGAATTTCCGTTTCCGAAATTCGTTAGCGGTAGTTCGTTCGAACGTTCGTTTCGTTCGTTGGAGCAAAGTGACATTAGAGAAGGAGAAAAAAAAAATTCCCCCTCAAATGTCACTTTGCTGCAAACGAACGAACGAATGAACGACACGAATAAGAAACAAAAACGAATCGAACTTACGGACTCCGAATTCCGAATCCGAATTGACTTTCACACCCGAATCCCGAAAAACGAAATAATACAAATCCGAATCCAAACGAAACGAAACTAAACACATTTTTTGGAAGTGCACATGTCTACTTGGGTGAGTATATCTTCTTGATTGGGTCACCTAGAGAAAAAAAATTAGCGGTGAACCCTTGCATTGCAGGGGTAGCCCCACTGAAAGGGTTACTTTTTATTCTGCCCGGAGTTCTTTTTAAGGTCCTCACCAACTACAATAGCTATAAGACAAATACGGAACCTATTTTAAATAGCAAGGATTTGTACAGTACTATACCTGTGTACAGTACTGTAGATGTAAATGTAAGAGTTAAGGAAGGGAAAAAAGGCTGCAACACTGATAAGAGTGTTGCAGCGAGAGATAAGAGCAGAGACCCCTGAGGCAATCATTGGTACACAATTTTTATCTTCATAAACCGTATTTTATTTATATGTTTATGGGGTCCCCATGATTTAACTATCAGGCAAATATGGAGGAATTCAAACAATTACTGTCGGTGTCTGGCCAAGCCTCCTCTTCCCCCTCAATGGAACAGGTGTTAACCTGGGTATAAGCTTGGCATTGATAATGATAGCCACCTCTCTTCTGTTTCATGCTCTCAGTTAGCATTATGTAGTGGAGTCAATGGGCGCAAGTACAATATTTTTGAGGCTGTCAGGTCCTAAATTTCATATCTGAAGCCTTGTTACAAAGAAAGTAGGTTAAAGTATCATCTGCTTATATTAAAGCTGAATTCTAGACAGATATCATTAATGCAGATGTGTAAGAATATGATTATATTCTATAAATAAATGTAAACAAATAAAAGATCAAATTATTTCAAAAAGTAAATATTTTATATTTAATAATTTATTACGTTATTTATATAAATGTATTTCTATAATATAATTATATTATTACACATCTACATTAATCATATCTTAA